TAGAGCATCAGTCCTCATACAGAAGGGTCTCGGGTTTGATTCCTAGTCAAGAGCACATACCTGGGTTGCAGGTTTGAACCCCTGTCCCGTTCAGGGCGCATTCTAGAAGCAACCAATTGATGTGTCTCTTTCACATCGATGTTTCCCTCTTTTTTCTCTCTCCCTCCCTCCCTTCCTTCCACTCTCCCTAAAAATCAATGGAAGAAAATATCCTCAGATGAGGATTAACAAAAAAGAAAAGGTTTCATAAAGGTTTACCTATATGGGCTTCATAATACTACTTAACACTTGTTAAGAATTTACCATGTTATCTTACTTAATGCTCACAACAATATATGAATATGAGGCCAAGTACCAAAAGGTATCACCTCTTTCACAAATGAAGAAACTAAGGCTCAAGTCAGAGCTGAGACTCAAACTCTAGTAACTCCTAGAACAAGTTAGGTATGAGATCCGAAAGATGAGGAGGAGTCGGCCAGAAAGAAAGAGATGCTGCTGGGATAGTGTTGCAAGTGCAGGGAAAGTACAGAGGACAGAAGCTGAGGAGAGCAGCAGAGGCCAGATCATAGATGGCCTCCTCCCAAGTCACACTGATGGAGTTCCACTGTGTGCTGCCGGTGATGGAAAGCACGAGAAGGTTTTATATAGAACAGTGGCAAGGAGAGATTTGCCCTTCAGAAAGCTCATACTAGCTGCAGTAAGGGAGTAGACTTGAAGGGGGTTGAAAACAGAAGACTCATCATGGGGTTATGTAAGGAAGATGTGGCCTGGTAGTGGTCTGAATAATTGCAGTTAATATTTTGAGCCCTGTTACTTCATTTTAATCTTTGTAACTCTATGAGGTAGATATACTTACCCCGTTTAATGGATGGGAAACCCAAGGAACAGAACAGCTAAATAATTTGTCCAAGGTCACAAGGTAAGTGGTGGCAGTAGAGCAAGGTAGGAACATTGGAAAAATATTTAAGAGGTGGTATGGTCATGTCTAGGTGACTATTCAACTCATTGATTTTGGGAGGATGGCTACAGGAGCAGGAATTATCAAATATGATATGCAAGTTTCTAGCTTGGATAACTAGGTAATGAGCCAGTTAGGAAACACAGAAGCAAGTGGTGGTAGTGGAAGAAAGTGGTAGGTTCAGTTTGAGGTTTGATTTTAACGTGCCTGGGTAGTTTCCAAGTGGAGATATCTACAACGCAGCTAGCTGCAGGGGCTGGTGTGAACCTCAAAGTGAGTCTTTGAGGTCATCAGCCTCAACCTCGCCCAGAAGCAAAATCAAAACCACCTTTGGAGAAGCTGAAAACTATACAAACTTTGAACATGAAGCATTTAGAAAAACTTACTCCAATGGTTTTAACTACAAAACAATATTAGATCATTACAGGGTAGTTTTCTATTAATTTTACTTCTCAGTTATTTTTTACTAATGGCCCTTTACCTTGAAATCTATAGAGAAGCAGGGCCCAAATTGTCTACACCACCGTCTTTTTCTCCCAGGGCATAGGAACTCTTCTTTGTACAGCACTCACTTTTGAAGCACAAGGGAATCATTTAACAAATTATCATTTCAGTGCACTCAGTGGGGTCCTAATCTGGAAGCATAGCCCTAACCCAGCGGTTCTCAACCTGTGGGTCGCGATCCCTTTGGGGGTCGAACGACCCTTTCACAGGGGTCGCCTAAGACCATCGGAAAACACATATATAATTACATATTGTTTTTGTGATTAATCACTAGCTTTAATTATGTTCAATTTGTAACAATGAAATTGGTGGTCACCACAACATGAGGAACTGTATTAAAGGGTCGCGGCATTAGGAAGGTTGAGAACCACTCTCTAGCCTCCTAGAGAACAAAGAGGAAATCTGCTTTGTTATAATAGGGAAATATTAACACATCAAATAACCTTAGAGGGAAGACTCCAGGTGAATTTCTCCTGGTGAAATGGCATTTTCCTTCCCAGAAATTAAAAATGCAGAACTTATAGATGGAGAAATAGTTTTTAAAAAATGCTTTGATAAAATTTCTTTTCCAAGTCTTGGCTATGAGATTATTTCAGTTTTTCTTCCATGTTTGTATCTTTGCCCAATTTAAAGCACTTCCACTCCTTACCTTTGCCTAGACTGGCCATTTAAAAAAAAAAAAAAAAAGGTTTCGTAAGAGAAAATTACTGGTAAGTCATTTGAAAATTGTGGCCACACCCTGGCAACACATAATCACTGCCTTAGGCAGATGGTGCAACTGTGTCATGAATAGAGAGCCTTTGACTGTTTCTAAGAGGTATCTGTTCTGGAATCCCAGCACAGGTTCAGGAGAAATTGTTTAGTAGATACCAAAAATATCTCCTTAAAGCAACAAGGCCTCCTTTCAGTTTTCCTTTTGGATGTGGGTTTTTTTTTTTTCTTTTCTCCAACAAAGCTAATGAGCCAGTCATTCATACCAAATATGTCCATGTTGCCTTGCCACCAGCCTAATCTTCATAGGAAGTTGTTCAAGTTTTTGCATCTTCCCAAAATATGGCAATATCCAAAGGGTTCACCAATGCGTGAACACAATGTACTCCCAAATTACCATAAAAACATCTGTACAAAGGAATGAATGTAAAGAATGATTGTGCCCAATTTTAATGAATCCGATAAAAACCCATTTTGTGAATCCGTGCTGGATTACTAAAATAATTCTCAGGTTTTTTTATTTTAAAAATTATACTTTTAATTATAGAATATTGTTAGAATAATACAGATATAGACACTAGGATAACTGACCAATACCATAAGGAAAACTGTTCTACGTACTTACTTTTTCATTCACTCTCCACAACCATAGAAAACAGGCACAAAGTGTTCAGGGTATGTGCAGAAGCAGCCAGAGTCTTGGGAGCAGAAGGCATGCAAAGAGAGTCTGATGCATAACTCCTACACAAAGTTCAACATATGGGCAGCAATTGGTAGAAAAAGAGGAGAAAGAGCTGGTCTGGCCCTTGCCCTTTTAACTTCCCAGCTGGAGTGTACATGTTTGGAGAGATGGCTGGGGTACTTAGAAGCCAAAAGCAGCAACAGGCACAGTTTCAGGTTGGGGCAGGAGAGAAGGGAAGAAAAAGGGAGTGAAATACAATTAGGTCAAGAAGATGCTGTCTTCTATGGCCACTCCAAAACTGATGCCCTAATGGCTCACAGAAACAGGAGAACTTTGATATTCATTAAAACCATCAGCAACACTGATATGGTAAAGACATATTCGAGTTTAGTCATTAAGAACATGTAAGTCATTCAACAATTAAAATATGAATACCCACAGTCGGCTAGATTTTGTATCGAACGAAAAACATGCTTCTTGCCCCAGTTTACATTTAAATAGGAGTGGCAACAGAAAGAAAGCTCCTTGGTGGAGTGGTTTTTCATTTTGTTACTTTCGAGGTTGTGTCATTTGCAAGTGATGCAGTCCCACACAGCTGTGGGTCATAATTCACTACAGTACCCGACCCTAGAGACCATGAGCTCTTTAACACCAAGTCCCAAAGAGCTATGGCAAAAGTAGTTTTCAAATGTTACAACTTTCATAATAAAGCACAGTAGAAATAACTTGAGACACGCTAAACAAAAATTTCCGTGAGTCCCATTTCCTGGGCATCAATTTTCTTCCACTCACACCCCCAAGTACTTGGATAAGCACCAACATTTGAGATATTTCTTAATTCTTATTTAGGCTGAGATAAAGAGAACTGACACTACTGAGCTTACATTGGGTCAACTCTTATTTTAACCATTTATATCTGTAGGCTGACAGGATGAAAATACATTTCTATAGGCTTATTAATTCCTTGTTACTAGCCCAAAGAGACGGTCAGGCTGAGAACAGGACAATCAGTTATCTCCCACAATTGACTGATAAATATAAACAAGTGTGTAGTTCTGTACAAAGACAGATCTTACAAGAGTGCACATTAAAGCATTAGTGTTTAAATTTTTTCATCATAAAGAATGAAAAAAAAACATTTTTCAATTGGAGTGTATCTGTAGTTCTGTCACACAATCAACATCACCCAAGAACATGCTAATTCTGTGTGAATTCAGTTTCTGCTATTGGAAAAACCACAGGAATACACATTTTACTGTACATACACATGCTCTTATGCAAGCTAAGAGAAACACTGGGATGTGGCCCTTATCAAATCCTAGAGTTAGCAGTATAGGGAGGATTGATCTTAAAGGGCAGAGGGGAAAGTACACAGAAATGACCTGTGTTCCTTGGGAAGGGACTCTGTGCTTCCTCCCCTGAAATTGTCAAATCCACCTGCTCCTTACACTCCACCAACACTTATGGTCCTATCTTTCCTTGAAGACATTTTCCCTACAATGTTCCCTAGAGTGATCCCCAAAGGAAATTAATAAATTCTGACTAATGGCAATAAAAACAGTGGGCATCACTTCCTAAAGTCACCACCATTGATGACACAGTCCCCAAACCTGTGTTTCATTTATCCTTGCAATCTGTATCTTCAGTTAGCTTTCACAAAGATGCAAGCTTTTAAAAAGTTAATTAGAAACAATGAGAAGGAAAAATGTTATGATCATTGCCTTCATCATGCAGAATCCAGCTCTCAGGAAGTCAGAAAGGTACAAGTGCATGAGCAACTCAAGGACAAAGCCTTTTGAGTGGTAAGACGTGTGTGCCCAAATACTATGGTAAGTGAATAAGTGTGGCAGTTCAGGCAGTCTCTCATCTTTCTCCAAAGCAGCTGTGACCACCCTATTACAGTCCAACATTTCCCTTAGCACAGTTTTTTGAGCTAAGGCAAGGAGAAATACCTTTTAAAAATTTACTCTATTTCCAGTCCTGAGCATTTACCAGCATTTATTATCTAGACTTCAGAGTTCCAGTTACTCATGGGGCTGATTTCGATGAAGTACTTCATTAATATTGAGTGAATAAAAATCACTATTTTGGAGAGGGAATAACATTCCCAAAGCCGTGGGTCAGAATTTCAAATGGCTTGTCTTCTTTGATGTTTTAAACTGTGGCCTGCAACAAGAAAATTCGGTATGGTATAAGAAACTCAGTCTTAAAAGAGCTCTTTGATATCAGATAAAATTGTACCTTCAAATGAATTGTTTCTCAGTCATAATTACAGGACTTAGTCAGTGTGAACTCTCTTATGTTTAATAAGAGCTGAGCTCCGGCTGAAACTCTTTTCGCATTCAGTACATTCGTAAGGCTTCTCTCCCGTGTGAACCCTCTGATGTGTGATGAGGTTGGAGCTCTGGGTGAAACCTTTTCCACACTGCACACATTCATAAGGCTTCTCTCCTGTGTGGGTTCTCTGGTGTTTAATTAGATCTGACCTTTCACCAAAGCTTCGCCAACACTCATTGCACTCATAGGGCTTCTCTCCAGTGTGAATTTTCTGGTGTGTGATGAGATGAGAACTCCGGCTGAAGCTTTTCCCACAAGCGTTACATTCATATGGCTTTTCCCCAGTGTGGGTTCTCTGGTGCTGAACCAAGTGTGAGATGCGGCTGAAATTCTCTCCACATTCATTACAGTGGTACGGCTTTTCTCCTGTGTGGGCTCTGCGATGGCGCACAAGGTCAGAGTTCTGACTGAAATTCTTCCCACACTCATCACACTTGTAGGGCCTCTCTCCTGTGTGGACTCGATAGTGTTTGATGAGATCAGATCTCTCACTGAAACCTCGCCCACATTCATTACACTCATAAGGCTTCTCACCTGTGTGGGTCCTCTGGTGTTGAGCTAGGTGAGAGCTCCGGCTGAAGCTTTTCCCACACTCCTCACACTCATAGGGTTTCTCCCCACTGTGGGTCCTTTGATGTTGGATTAGGTGAGATAGACGGCAGAAACTTTTCCCACATTCGTTACATTTGTGGGGCTTTTCTCCAGTATGGATTGTTTGATGCTGGATGAGATGAGAACTTCTTCCAAAACTTTTCCCACACTCATTACAGTCATAGGGTCTCTCTCCAGTGTGCGTTCTTTGATGCTGAATAAGGTGTGAACTCCGACTGAAGCCCTTTCCACATTCATAACACTTATAGGGTCTATCTCCAGTGTGGGTTTTCTGATGTCGATTAAGGTCTGAGATCTGACTGAAGGCCTTTCCACAATGAGAACATATATGATATTGAATACCTGTGTGAATTTCTTTGTGGACAAGCAGATCCGTGACTTGTTGGAGAGGATAGCTTACCCACTCTTCTGCTGTTAAATCTCCCCACTGTCTTTCTGATCTATCCCTGCTTTCAAAGGCCTCTTCACTTTCAGGATTTTCCTCTGTATTCCCAACAGGTCTTTCAGATGCAGTCCCAAGTTCTACATCTTCACTAATCTCTTGCTTTGGATTCACCTCGTTCTCACTCCTGATCTCAAAATCTGTAATAAAGAGTAAATAATAATAATAATACTGGCAAACACACAAAGAATTACCTACTACCAGTATGTGCCAGGCATTATGTTAAGTTCTTTACATGAATTAGTACCTCAACTGCCCTGAATCAGGAATTATGATTTCCACTTTATAAATAAGAAACCTATACCCTAGCTGGTTTGGCTCAGTGGATAGAGCATCAACCTGGGGACTGAAGGGTCCCAGGTTCGATTCCAGCCAAGGGCACATGCCTGGGTTGTGGGCTCAATCCCCAGTAGGGGGCATGCAGGAGGCAGCCAATCGATGATTCTCTCTCATCATTGATGTTTCTACCTATCTCTCTATCCCTCTCCCTTCCTCTCTAAAATCAATAAAAATATATTAAAAGAAAAAAAGAAAGAAACCTAAGGCTGAGAGAAATGACTTCCAAAAGGTCATACTCATTAAAAAATTTTTTTAAATAAAAACTAAAAACAAAAGGCCATACTCATAGATACAGAGAACAGACTGACAGCTGTCAGAGGGGAGAGGGTTTGGGAGACTAGGTGAAAAAGTGAGGAGGGGCCCTAGCCAGTTTGGGTCAGTGGATAGAGTGTCAGCCTGCAGACTGATGAGTCGCAGGTTCGACTGTGGTCAAGGGCACATGCCTGGGTTGCGGACTCAATCCCCTGTGAAGGTGTGGAGCAGGCAGCCGATCAAAGATTCTCTCTCATCATTGATGTTTCTATCTCGCTCCCTCTCCCATCCTCTCTGAAATCAATAAAAATATATAAAAAGAAAAAGAAAAAGGTGAGGAGGGGATTAAGCAGTATAAACTGATAGTTGCAGAATCACCACAGAGATCCGAATTGCAGCATGGGGAATATAGTCAATAATGTCGAGATAACTGGGTAGGTGGCCAGGTGGGTGCTTGGGTCAGCGAAAGGACCACTCTGTAGAGTGCATGGTTTTTTGGCTACTTTGCTGTACATCTGAAACTGCTGTGGGCCCTAACTGGTTTGGCTCAGTGGATAGAGCATCGGCCTACAGACTGAAGGGTCCCAAGTTCAATTCCAGTCAAGGGCATGTACCTTGGTTGAGGGCACATCCCCAGTAGGGGGTGTGCAGGAGGCAGCTGACTGATGTTTCTCTCTCATGGATGTTTCTAATTCTCTATCCCTCTCCCTTTCTCTCTGTAAAAAAAAAATCAATAAAATATTTTTTTTAAAAAAAACTGCTGTGGAATGGTATTGAATGTAAACTGTAGTTGGAAAAAAAACACACAAAAGGTCATAAATGGTGGAGCCAGGATTCAAATTCAGGTCTGTCTGATAAAAGTTCATACTCTGTATCAATACAGTTAATGGTTCTTTATAATAAACTGTATATATTCCTGGTTTCTCAAAAGGAGAAAACCAGCCTGGCTAGTGGGCTCAGTGGTTGAGCATCCACCTATGAACAAGGAGGTCACGGTTCAATTCCCTGTCAGGGCCCAGGCCCAAGTTGTAGGCTCGATCCCTAGTAGGAGGCATGCAGGAAGAGCCAATCATGATTCTCTCTCATCATTGATGTTCCTATCTATCCCTCCCTTCCTCTCTGAAATCAATAAATATGTGTGTGTTTTTCAAAAAAGGAGAATACTGGAAACAGAGAATATAAGAGACTCTAATTAGAATCTCTAAGAGCCAAGAACCTAGATATTTTGTATGTGAATGCATGTATGTATGTATATGTGCTTGTTCTTAACTAATCAAGCCTTCATCATTACCATTATATAAATTTACTAAGAACCTACTGGGTTAGCATGGATAAAATGAATTTTTATCTATTTCTTTCAAATCTTAGTTGACAGAAAAAGTGACTGCCAAATGCTACTTTCTAGGGGCCTTTTAATGAAAATGGGTGGGAAGATTGGAGAACACAAAAAAGATGCCTAGCTTTGAACATTCCTGGCATTGACTAAGCATAGTCTTCAAATGAGAATCAAAATATATAACCATTGTGTACAAAAAAAAACTTTCTACCAGACACTGCATTTTCCAAGTTGCATTTCTTAGTACATTCTTCAGAAAGAGGTAGGTATGCTGAGAGAAAAGGGTCTCAAGGATAAATTACTTTGGTAAATGATGCATGCAACATTACAGTTATGAATGCCTGATAACATAATAAAGGCTCTAAAGAGTCTTGAGGTAAAGAGACCTTGTTAACATTATTTAACCCACTTATTTGGGCAAATAATTTTTTTTGTGTGTGTGCTTCCATGTTTCCATCCCTAAGTGTTCCTTGGACTCAACCTTAGACATATAGATTCATATTTCTTTGAGATTCTCATTTCTTATTTTTGTTGCGTTACGTGGAATATTTGGATAACAGACTGCAATAGATCTGGGTAAATAACTTAATTTCTAGTCGCTTCCTAAAGGAAGGATCCAAGAAACTTTGGATATCAGAGAAAGGCCAGATAAAAAGAAAACGTCTCACCCTGGCCAGTGTGACCAGTGATTAGAACACTGTCCCATTCACTGAAGGGTCCTGGGTTTGATTCCTGGTCAGGGCACATACCTAGGTTTTGAGTTCAATCCTTGGTCCTGGTGCAAACAGGAGGCAACCAATCAATTTCTCTCTCACACACTGATGTTTCTCTCTTTCTTTCTCTCTCTCTTTCTCTCTCTCTCATCAATGAAAAAAGCATATCCTTGGGTGATGATTAAAAAAAAATAAGAAGAAAACCCCTTTTATTTGCCTTTTCTCTGGAAAAGGCTATAGGGATAAAAAATTAGTCCTCAATGAGTGGCAGATGACCTAGTGAACCATACATGGTTGCTAACTTCTGTTGAGTCTAAACAGAAGACAACATGAGTCTAAAGCAGTGGTTCTCAACCTGTGGTCGCAACCCCTTTGGCAGTCGAACGACCCTTTCACAGGGGTCGCCTAAGACCATCCTGCATATCAGATATTTACATTACAATTCATAACAATAGCAACATTACAGTTATGAAGTAGCAACGAAAATAATTTTATGGTTGGGTCACAACATGAGGAACTATATTTAAAGGGCCAGAAGGTTGAGAACCACTGGTCTAAAGGCTATCCAGCTCAAGAATATACTGTTTGTTCTGGTTACACTCAGACCAAAGGATAACTAAGAGAAAAGACAGGTTTTGGCCAGTGTGGCTCAGTAGTAATCTCTATCCCTCTCCTTTCCTCTCTCTCTAAAAAAATAAATAAAAACATATATTTTTTAAAAAGACAGGTTTGCAGACCATCAAAAAAAAAAAATAGCTTTCTTGCCCACCCGGGGGGGCTCAGTGGTTGAGCATCAACCTATGAACCAGAAGGTCATGGTTCGATCCCCAGTCAGGGCACATGCTCAGGCTGTGGTCTCAATCCCCAGCATGGGACTTGCAGGAGGCAACCAATCGATGATTCTCTCTCATCATTGATATTTCTCTCTCTCTCTCCCTCTCCCTTCCTCTCTGAAATCAATAAAAATATAATTTTAAAAAATTAGCTTTCCTCAATAATATAATTTGTGATCTAATTTAGTTCAGGATTTTCCTGGAACATTTGACATAGTCAAAATCTATGATCAACTCTGAAACATCTCTAGACAAGCACCTACTTCAGATGAAGGACCTAAGGCAAAGCTAACGCTCCAAAGCCAAAACAAACACAGAAAGGTGGCTTTTGCCCTCCCATTAATCCAGGTCAGAACCCCCTCATCTTCTGATATGCCACGGTTGCGGGTTTGATATCTGGTCAGGGTACATACAAGAATCAACCAATGAATGCACAAATAAATGGAACAACAAATTGATGTTTCTCTGTCTCTCTCTTCCTTCCTCTCTCTCTCTAAAATCAATAAATAAAATTTTAAAAATAGACAATATGACTCTGATGTTCCCACTCATTTGTCTGAGGACTCAAGTCAATATCCAATTAAGCGCTTTAAAAATCAAACAACTTGCCCTAGTTTGTTTGGCTCAGTGGATAGAGCATTGGCCTGCAGACTGAAGGGCCCCAGGTTCGATTCCAATCAAGGGCACATGCCCTGGGTTGTGGTCTCAGTCCCCAGTAGGGGGGCCAGGAGGCAGCCAATCAATGATTCTCTCTCATCATTGATGTTTCTCTCCCTCTCCCTTCCTCTCTGAAATCAATAAAATATATTTTTTAAAAATCAAACAACTAGGTTGTATTCAAAGAGCTAGTCTCAAAAACGTGGGGTGAAGAATGGTAGAGAATCCTTACTTACCTAATGAGACAACATTCCCATAATTCTCCTGCATAACATCCCTGTAAAGGTCCCTTTGCGTAGGGTCCAGAGGTCTCCATTCTTCCCGAGTGAGGTACATGGCCATATCTTCAAATGTCACCGGTGCCTGAAATCACACAATGCTTCCTCATTACTTGACATCTCATAGATTGGTACCAGTTTTTCTCCTTGAAATTACAGACATGGCTAGAATTATTGAGGAGGCAAAGGGTATTAAATCTGATTTATAGAGTCCAAAGAAGAAATGAACAAGCTAAAAAGAGATAAAGAAGAGAGCAATTTACAAGCTAATTGCTCTGGTCCAATGGCCAGACAACCCTGCCCCACACTGGAATCGTATTCTCTAGCTGTACTTTGCTCAGAACACATCTAGCACCTACATGGCACCACTTTACTCACAATGTTCCTCTTTTCCTGGAATATCTTTCTCAAACCAGAAAAATCCTATTATTCTTTTTTTATTCCAGATAAGGAAAACCACTGACAAATAGTTAAGTGACAACGGTTTTTAAGAAATAAAAAGAATGTATGGAGCAAAATAAGTTATGAATGTAAGCGCTGGCCCTCCTCTTCCAGGTATCCTACTATTCTTTTAGGTCCTGTTCCAGTACCAACTATTCTTCGGTGCCCCCCATCCCTCTGCTTGGCCCCACTCCTCCCTCGGACCCCTCAGATAGAATTCATCACTCCCACGCCTTCCTTCTCACACCAAGCACTTTGTTCCTACAGCAAATGGAGCTCTTATCACGTTGTATCACGGTTAACCGGATGCATCTGTCTCCCTATAGATTGTGAGCAGGCGGGAGAGCCCGTTTCATCCATCCACCTTTTGTCTCCCCGGCATTTAAAGGCATACAGCAGGTGTTCAATAAATGCTTGTTTGTGGCTAAACCGGTCTGGGTTCCTGGAGGCACAATACCGAAGCGAGCTAATTACTATTTCCAGGGAATTTCCCACAGGGATTTGCAAAGAAACGCCGGGACCAGGTGGATAAGCAGAGGCAGGGGCCGCGAAGCCACCCCGCGGCTTACCTGGGACCCAGCCATGAGCAGGGTGGCTGCCATCTCGGGCTCAAGGATTCGCCTCCCAGGAGAAAGAGCAGGAAAAGCAGCTAGCAGACAGCACTAAAGGAGGCGAAAAGCAGGGCGTGAGGCACAGAACACAGGCCCTGCCCACTCCCCAGGGCTGGAGTTCTGGCCGCCAGGCGGCTAGGGAGGGCCCTGGACCCGGGCAGGGTCACTCTCCTCCTTGACCCTCGAGCGCGACCCGCCCTCCGTGTCTCCGCCACCACGGGGTGGAGGCAGTGCCGGGATTTAGCAGGACAAGACAGCTCCCAGGCTCGGTCCCTCCCGCCCGGTCTCAAGCCGCTGCAGTCTCCGGGAGGCGGCTCTCAGCCCAGCCCACAGAACGCCTCCGCTCTTCCATCTCCAGGATGAGGCCTTTCCGGCAGCTGCCTCAGCCAATCAGCGAGCGAAGCTCGAAAAACGCTCTACCAATTACAAGCCGAACACTAGGCCCGCCTCTTGTAACTAGGCTGGACACCTCCATCGCGCCTGCGCCTGCCCCTGCGGCCTGCCGGGAGTTTGAGTTCCATTCTGGTCACTCAGGGGCCAAAAGCCAAGGAGGGAAAAGAACAAAAGGGTGAAGGAAGGACCGCGTTCTCCTACTCAGGACAGAGTATCTTCTGCTTTCTTCTGTCGGAGACAACAGCCCGATGAAGCAAGGGAAGTTGTCCTGCTTCTCCTCACGTCCCTAGAAGCTTATCTTGGATCGGACCTTAATTGCGACGTCTGGCCTAATTTAGGTGCTGGCCTGTGTTGGGTTCCGCTCGGATTAACACTCATCTGACAGCCGGGCCTGAGAGGAAAGAGGCAGCCGCCCACTCCCCGGGGAAGATTCAGCGGCCTCGCTGGAACTTTGAGCTCCGCCCACGCACTACATGTCCCAGCAGCGCCTGCGGCCTTCGCACCCTGCTACACAGACTACAACTTCCAAGAGGCCCCGCGCCGCCGGGGAGCTAGCGAGTGTGGTCGGGTGGCTGGGACAGGCGGTGTCCAAGCTCCATCGCTATTAACCCTGTAGGGGTGTCTGACTGCGTCCTTCCAAAGAGGGCGCCCCTGAGGGGCGGGCAGAGTTGTGGCTGGCAGAGCGGGAAGCCAAAACCCTGAGCGAATGTGGGGGATAGGGCGTGTAAAGGGAGCGAGCCAGGCCCCAGCGCTGGGCAGAACCGACCATATCGTTCCGAGGGCTGCTCTGCTCAAAGGTTTCCTGGCCGCCTTTGACACGGACCGGCCCCTGAGGGCCTGAGCCGGGCGGGCCCTCCACATGCTAGCAGTCTCTGATCGCTGAAGATAGGAAGCCGAAAACCCGAGCTGGGAACGAGCAGACTTACCTCCTGGCCCGCGAAAGATCCACTAGACCGCCGGCTCCAAGATCCGCGAGGCCCCAAACAGATTCCAAATCCGCAGGCAGCGTTCTTTGGAGGCTTCAGGCGTTCGGGAAGGTTCTAGAAATCACGACTGTCAGATTTCGGATTATCTCAGACCTGCAGGTAGATCTCGAATCCGCAGGCTTGCAGGCAAAGCCCAGAGATCCCAAAGACTCGCACAGATTCCGAGACCTCAGACGCTCAGGCAGCTCAGAAACCACAGGCTCACAGGCAGGTCCCTCAGAGACCACAGGAGCTGGCCAAGAAACACCAGCAGCAGCTAGGCTGCATGCAGCTGGATTTCTTCCGAACGGAAGGACTGGCCCCCTTCCCTTTCCCCAGCCAGGATGAGAAAATTAGACAATGGAAGCCCAGCACGAGGAAAAGCAGGCATTCTGCGTGGAGAAGCGCTGTGAGCTCGCTGTAGCCTTGGAGAGGGAAGTGATGGAAAAAGAATATAGCAGCTTATTAGGGACTCCCACCCTCTTCAAGTTATAAATATCCCCAGAACCTTGGCCATGTGCCCAGAAGCCTGTTGTCTCTAACTGTACAGGAGACTTCTCTGCCTGTGCTGGGAAAGGGGCTTTTCTTTTGTTTTGCAGATACATCTACCCACCGAGTGACTTGAATTTTTTCCCTCGAACATGACTCCAGGCTATGCTTTTATTAGTGAGTGTCCTGTTCCCACCGCCCAGTTATTTATGGTTAAATTACTCAAGTGTCTGAAAAGAACTAGGACTCTACCCAGCCATGAGGCAGACACTCCCACTCCACATCCCCAACTGTGCGGCGAGGAATTCTTTAGATACCACAAAATTGTACCATCTTACCCCACCTAAAATTGTTATGGGTACACCACACCAAAAAAGTTAAAAAAAAAAAAATGGAATCACAGAGGGTCCCCAAAAGGCAGTCAAGGTCACACAGACCTGGGTTGAAATCAAGGCTGTATATCCTTTGAAAAGTCATTTAATCTTTCCAGGCCCATTTCTCTTTCTGTAAAATGGGGTAATCACACCCAAGGTGATGGTGAGCACTGAGATGACTTAAAGTGGGCACTCAGATGACAGCTGTGGGTGCAGGGAAGACTTCCAGAAAGTGAGCACTTTCTGTGCATATTTTCATTGGCTCGGAAAACCTGGGAAGTCAGAGTGGCTCCATAGCTGTGAGGATCGGCTGGTGACCTTATTCTCACATAATGTTTCTGCTGGAAATCCAGAGGGAACTCCAAGTTGGACCAGTTTGGTGGGTTCAGACAAATTGGTGAATTGAGCCCAGCAGAGCAGAAATATTTGGAGCTGCCAGGAATCCAGCAAGTTAAGGCCTTACCCTTAGGAAAAACCTCTGGGTCAAGGGAGATGGGTTCATTCTTTGGCTGAATACTGTAATTGCAGGTTTCTAACTGGGCCTAAGGTGAGGTGAGCTGGGCGCCCAAGCCCCTCAGCCCAGCAGGGCTCCCTTTTCATCCCTTCTCTGACAGATTGCTTTGTAAACTGTCTTAGGCCTTTTCTTCCCCCTTGCTCCAGTGCTTTAAACCCTTCTTTGTCCTCTGCTGTTTCTTTTATTCCTAGGCCTGGCTGGGGGCAGGGCGACTCTCTAAACCCTGCTTGGCTGCTTGCCTCCTTCTGTGAGTAAGTGCTTTTCTCTTTCTTCACCTGGGACCCTCCAGAGGGTGGAGGAGAGAGGCTGAGAGATGGAAGGCTGACTTCTTTTG